GAGATCTACCGTACCGTACTAGAGGATCTCGCGGATCGAAGAGCGCCTAGCTCTCGTTCCGGGGAACACGCTCTTCCGACTTCGCGAGCGCTTTGCTCGGGTGCGTTCATTGGCACGTGCATGCTGCGTGATCTTTGATTGCTTAAGTGCCCGGTGACCGGGGCGGGAATTCGGCGAGAGCTTTGTGCCGTGTCCGGTGCAAGCCTTACCAGCCCCTGCGAGATCAAGTAAGTCCCTCGGCATCGATATTACGCCTGGTGACCTGTCTAGTGGTAAGCGCATGAGTTGGCTAGATTAATCAATTCCACCGCTTCCGACTTAAGAAAGATTTTGAGTCAAACGCTTGTTTCCTTATTGCTAATACCGCCTAGTAGAGTGTAGCGTATGTGAAGTCAGCGCGACGACGCAACGTATTCGATATCACGAGTCGATATCCGCAATTGGTCTTGCGATAGATCCCGTCTGTTAAAAGTGTCTTGTTACTTGTCCCTATACTTCTGTATTTTCTTTTACTTTTCATTCTTTTGTAATTACTGCCGCCGCGACAAAGCGATCTCGCCGTATCCTAACGGTGAACTTTATTTTGTATTTTTTTTGTTATTCTCGCTAATATGTCTCTTATTCCGCGGCGTTATAATAAATTGTTTATTTCTTTCTCTCTATCTGCAGTGTGGTTGATTACAATCCTAATCCGAGATTCGTTTGGGACAGCCCTTATTTATCGTCCGACCCTCCCCCTCTCCGTTTCAAATAGAGCTAGTCGGCCCATTGTGTTGAGCGACGCATATTTTGACGCGAGTACGCGTCTGGCGCCTAGAATTAGATCTAAGAATTCGTCGGCTCGGCACAGTGGTAGTCTCGGTTTATCACCCTTTTCTTCCCTGCCTGTCGAGACGTTTCCTCTCTCGCGGACTTCCGTCCGTGTCCCGAGTTCGTATTTCCGTTTTGGGCGGGGCGACGCGGGATTTTTGTTACAACCAAGAAAAACGTCACAATATATACATATATACGTGTTCACGTGTAAATTTTTACACGTAAAATTCAAATTGTAATAACAATTCTAAAATTAATATAGGATGCTATACTTGCATCTCATATATGAGAAATCCCAAATACCCTTTTAATTGAAATTAAAGTTACACGTATATATGTATATATATACACGTATAATTTACTTACAACACCTAGCGAACGGCTCTCATGACCGAATATATATATATTTATTAGTTTGGAAACTTCGGAGCCTTAGAAGATTCTTTAATTTAAAATCACGCTAGAAGAAGATGGCGTTGTTCGAATATATATGTATGAATATTGCGAGAAAAACTCCAAGTGCCTCGGTGGCCGAATAGGAAAGGCAACGGCACGGAAAGCCGGAGATTCCAGGTTCGACTCCTGGCCGAGGAGTTTTTTTCGCAATATAAATTTACTTTCAATTAGGGGGGTATTTAGGATTTTTCATATATAAGATGCAAGTATAGCATCCTATATGAATTTTAGAATTGTTATTACAATTCGAATTTCACGTGTAAAAATTTACACGTGAACACGTATATATGTATATATATACACGTATAATTTACGCACAACACCTAGTGAACGGCTCTCATGACCGAATAAATATATATTTATTAGTTTGGAAACTTCGGAGCCTTAAAAGATTCTTTAATTGTTTAATTTTTAATTGTTTCTAAAATTTAATTTATTCTAATAAAAACTATATAAATATTTTGCAGTATTTGAGGAATTCGTAAAAACATTGTTTTTTGAAAGTACAAGTAGTAAGTTAGGTAGAAATATTGGATGTGGTTCTTTCACTAATAGAACATATAAGATAGAGGTCCATATATTAAATTTTGTTTTTAAAGACTTTGATATTTTAAACATCAAAAAAGGAGATAAAGTAGAAGTAATAGGAATTATGTACACTACAGGTATATTTCACTTTCTCTATATTTGATATTTTCCGTATATAAAATGTTTGTATATCTATGTATATTAATACATATATATATACATATGTAGATATATATATATATATATATTGTTGGATGTCGAGGAAGGTCGGGTGGTAAAGATGAAGTTCTAAGCACGAACTTGTATTCTTATCTTTATTGCTCCGATTACAACGTTCCTTTTGTTTCTTACACGGCTCTTCCTCACTGTGGTAAACTCTCCGGCTTGCGGAGCCACACAGTGAGCTAGCAGTCTAATCACGGTCTCCCTCTGCTTCATCCACGCGATCGATTTATAGTAGATCGATCGCGCTGATTCAGCAGGCCCACCGGTCCTAGCAACGGCCGTGCTAGTTACCGGTGCCGTTGTCGACACATGCTGCATTGCACTTATGACAATGCGGCGATGTGTCGCACCCTGTGGCAACCAGCAGTTCTTCCTAGAACTGCTGCCTTCTTGCAACTTATCTAGGTCATTGAGCAATGACAGTGATGTCTCATCACATTGCTCAAAGGCCCCATCATACCTTAACTTTTAATACAAAAGTTGGCGCACAACATTTTCCAACCTTCCGGGAAAAAGGAAAATGTCCGTAACATTTTCCGTCACAATTTGTTTTTTACCTACTTGTGTACAATTTTTGCATGTTACTTACACTACCTTTGTATCTTACATACTATACTACGCGGCATACTTACAGCGCGACGGTCTCAATGTTTTGCGCGCGAGCGCTTCGCCGCTTTTCACGCTGTTCCGCGCTACGCAATTTCACGGCGACGCGTACCAACTCCGCTTTTTTTTTATTTCCTATTACTTTATATATAACCAGTACAATAATTACTACTATTATCGTCACACCTGACGTAGTCGGATAGATAAGATGCGGATTTTCAAAAAACGAACTCTCGTTTATTTCGTTCGTTACTTCCGTTACCTCTGATTTTATTTTCTCAATTTGTGTTTTATTCTGTGGTATGCTTTCTAACACTACCGGTTCTTCACCAACCGTTTGTTCTTTTGCTTCTAACACCGAAAGGTTGAACCGTGGCAAATACGTGTTAATTTGTTTACCGTCCACCACCTTGTTGGTGCGAATCGTTACAGTGGACGTCACTGGGCGGGTTCCGTTTGACCACAGTACGATTCGACACCGCTCGATTCGACACAGATTTATTCGACACCAGATTATTCGACACCGTACGATTCGA